CGGCTCTTCTCAGCTCTTGCAGTATCAGAGCTGTCGTCCTCCCCAAGGTATACCATAATGGCACTATATTATCAGGTGTTATTTGGCCTGCCACTTCCATCTCCAGCTCTTGCCACTCTTTTGTTAATCTCGAGTATTAGAAAATTTATGCTCCGCATTTTCGCTACTGCTACCACAAAAAGACTTACATACTTATTCAGGTACTCTCTAAAACATCCGTGTCCTATTAGAAACTGCGTAATGTAATCTATCTCGCCGAGCTTTCGTTCCACCCATGCTTGTACATTTCCGATTAATAGGTGCGTCCATCTTCCCTTCCTGCTGTGTCCCAACGATTTTGCCATTCCTGTAAGTTGACTTGTCTTTTCTCTTTACGCTCAGATGGCTTCTTGTCTATAATTTTGCTTTTGTCCTAGATCCGCTTCAGTTCTGGAGCCATTATGTCTGACCGCATTATCCCAGATATAATGCTAACGACTCTATGAGACACCGTGCGGAACCGGAACACTGATTTTGCCTCCTTGCACATGTTTTTGCATTAATTCTGATCGCTATACAGGTGCTTCGTACGCTAAAGTTGATTGGCTAACCTTGGCAAGAGCGGTCTCCTGCTTTGTTTAGGTCCTCCTATGTTAGCCATGATTTTGGATAAGGCCGCATTTACACGGGCGGCTTTTCCGCATACTTGTTCAATGTGCACTTTAGCTTAGCTTAACGTTTCTGAGTGATTTTGTACACCTGAATATTCTCTATCGACTTAAACTAGATTAATAGTACTCAATAATTAGATCTCTAAGTTCTGGACTTTTCGGCCGGTGGTAAGAAAAAAGCAAAGTATTAGAGGCTCCTACCAAAAGTTCAAATAAACGAATTGTGTCACTCTTTTGGGTACTATTCTCCCATTCATCTTATGGTATTGATAGATATATAGCTTCGAAGTTCACTGAAACATTAGGTCAGACTTTTTTGCACGCTCTCTGCATTTTTGTTGTATGTCAAGAGCTGTCTAAATTCTATTATAATTGAGACAACTGCTGAGCCAGCCTGACTGATAAGAAGGCGGTAACCATTTCTCAAGCTACTTCTGGACTAGTTCCACAATGTAATTAACCACTTAAGTGCTTTCGAAAAATATGGGTTGATTGTCGTGCCAATCAGGTACTTCCTGATATTCCGGTTGGTAACGCCTCAACTATTGACTCACACTGAACAACGAGTCCATTATCAGCAAAATTAATGAAACGTGGTTTCTAACAGACTTTACGAAGCTGTTTCTGAACTTTGCAAACACTACTCTATCAATCTAGTTGGAAGCTTACGATCAACAAGTAAGCTTGTGAGAGCTTACAGGACTTTTAATGTCCATTTTCACACAAATTCTCTCAACTCATCCCAAATACTTGTATAGCTATTCCATAGAAATGCCAAGGCGATGGAATGATGGAGCAATTTACATGAAATTGTGTCATTGTACAGCTATAAATATGCACACTTTTTGCATTTCACGATGAAAACTCGCCATTATTTTAGGAGCAATTTCTAAATATCAAAAATGTATGGGCGCACACATTGCTCCGCACTCTACTCGCTCGACACACATTTGACCAAGTTTGGTTGTCTGCCAGCGACATAATGCCAACACTCAAGACAATAAAACAAATATGAGAAATGGCATGCATGCGCTGACAAACAGGAAGTTGAGAAAGTGAACAACATGGCAGCTCCAGCAGAACAAATGAGCAAATAAATGAATAAATAAATACACAGAAACATAGAAACAACAACAGCATTAGTAGCAGCAGCAAACACAGCAATAGGAAACACTATTACGTATAAGTGCTTGTGCTTATGCAAGAGCTTATGCTTGAACGTGTGCTTGTGCCTGTACTTTAGAGCACTATGACTGCAAGGAAGTGACATAAACAAAGAGTCATATCCAGACACACGCACACACACACAAGCACGTGCAAACAAAAGTACAATCACGCATTCAAGCATTTCGAGTGCGAGCAGATACTCAGCAGAGTCAAAAAACGGCCAAACAAGGCACAACATTTCATCAGCATGCCATCGGCTGCGAGTAAAAAAATGCCGTGCAAGAAAAGAAAAGTGTGAAAGTGACACAAAAAGTGTGGAGAGGGCAAGGCGTCTGGCAAGAAAGCTCAAATGCAACTTGGCACGAAAGAGAGCCTAGAAGTTGTGCACTCCTCGCACTGTTCATGCTTTTAATTTGTTGTTGCACTTAACTTTTTATTTAAAACTCACCGTTAGCCCGTCCTACATACGCAGCTGGCGCTGAACAAAAACATAAAATGAAAATCAGACAATTTTATTGTAACTGCCGGCACAACGACAGCAGTTAACTGCCTGCTTCCTGCTTACATGACCACAACAACACAGCGAGTTACAGCGGGACTCGGCTACAGCCAGATAATATAAATAAAAAATTCCATAATAAAACTCGTTCGCCTCAGCAACAAGCTTCCCACATCCGCGCCGACAACACAATGTAATAACAAAAATATGTGTCCTTACAACAAAAACAACAAGAATGCGTCACATTTAAGCGACAACAGCCATAATTGCCATTACATGGTTTGTAAGTCGCAAGTCCTCACCTCTGGCTACAAGCCGCTGACTCTTGGCTATCGCGGGTTACACGCTCCGAACTCCTTTCTACGCGCTGCCTACACCCACGCGCTCGTGTGTGGCTCACCACTCGAAAGGTCGCCAAAACGATAAGGGTTTGCTTTTTCAGGTGGCGGAACACAAGATTGTGCGGTAGCATGGCACAGTGTGGCAATATTTACAACGAACTGGTAGAACATCAACCGAGATTTTACAGGATTTTCTGGAAAGTAATATGACTGAGTCGATTTAAAAAAATTCATTGCACCAATCGTTACAATTCTTTACAAACTTTCAAATTTAGCTCATTCTGCGTCGATGCAAGCTGCCAGCGCGGTTTCCAAGCATTTAAGACGTCACGGAAGGCATTCTTCGGAATAGCCTTGAGAGCCGAGGTGCATGCTGCTTGGATCATCAGGACTCTAGGGCGCTAGCGGCCTTGGCTACGTAGCTGTTCACAAAAAAGGCTCACACCGGACGTTACTGTGGTGCAACTTCCAATCGAATACGATGTGTTGTTGGACCTGATCGACGCTTCGTTTGAAACTCTTCAGAACTTCTATGTAAATCTTGGTGCTGACGGTTTTTCCAGGAGGAACAAATCCATGGTGGACGGTGCCTTTGATGTCAAAATAGACAATGAGCATCGTTTTCACTTGAGATTTGCTCATTCTTCCGGTCTTCATCAGCGACATCTTCCTGGCCTTCCAAAAAAGCCTGCTGCCACCGAAACACACCACTTGCTTCATAAGTATTGAGCATATTTAAGATTTACAAAACTTTCAAATCCTTTCTAGTTTTTTATCTCCTTCATACGACTTCTGTGCGATCGTATCAAACTCGGTACAATTTTACTTGGTTCGCTGCATAATCACTAAACTGACATTCATTTGACAGCTGCCAGCTGTCGTCGGAATTTCGGCATCTTAAGGCATCAACAGCCAGATTTTTTTCTAACATAGAGCCCTTTCGTACCACATTCAACCCACTGTGGCTACATTTTTAAATAGCTCTCTCTTATGGGTGCCCATACACCAGTATGTGCTGATAAGTTGTCCATTTATGAACTCTTAAGGCAAAAATTAAAAATGAAAAACTTGGTCAGGTCGGTCTGTTGGTCGGTGGTCGGGTGTGTCGGTCGATGGGCGGTGGAAGCGCATGATCCAGTAGCACGTTGCTAGGTTACTCGATGGCTTTGTAAGTTGGTCAGCTGCCCAACACAAAGTGGCAAGGCATTAAAGTAACAATGAAATGCATGCTTACACACGCACTTGCATATATAACGGTATATACTAAGATATGCGGCGATGCAGTACAGACCGAAAATTGTGAACCATGCCACTCACAAGTCACTGTCTGCAACCTCGTCTCTCCTTACCGAGTTGCAATTTCTACTTCAAGCGTTGCCTGAGCGGCATAGATGTGTGACAAATTACAAATTCAGCGCTAATTTAGTTACCGTTATTTTTGCAGTTTGTGCCTGCTTTTGTTATCGCCACTCATTTCCGTATGCTTGGCGTTTGCGGTGGCGCTTGCAACGGTGCCGGCGTCATTGCCATTTCGTTTATTTCCGCTTCGCATTTGCACCTCGAATTGCAGGCAATCAAAATGCTGGCACACTTTTGCTGCACAGCGGCACGCAGCCAGGTAACATGTTTACCTAAAATGCATGCCTCACATTGTTGTGCATGTTGTACATATGGTAGATGTAATCTCCGCCCGGTGCAGCCGCCGCTCACAACTTCCACGTCGCCGCCAACGCCTGTGGCATCCGGCGTAGCAGCCAGTTCACTGTGCGCGGCCCCTGCTCCGTGCACGCGTTTACGCAGACGCTGAGGTAGCATAGTGGCAGCATAGTAATATGTTTAAAATTTGATTAGCAGTAGCAGCCACAGCAACACCAAAATGGCAACAACAACTATAAAAGTGGATAGTTGAGTATCTGGCACGAGCCACTCAGCTGCGCAGGTCAGTTTCTCTCGGGTCTGTACTTCGTTTCGCTTGGAGACTGGAAGTCGCATGAATTTGCAAAACAAAAACGACCAGTGTGGAACAGGTGGCACGCGAGTTTGACAGTCCAATGCTTTTTTGGTAGTGAACGCAGCCATAGTTACAAGGGGTGGAACAGCGTACACCAGTTTTGGAAGATGTGTCATGTTACAGAGCTGTAAGAAGTAAAAGAAGCCGTAGGGTGCGCGCTACGCAAATTTGCAAAATATTCTGTGGAGAATTCTAATTTCTTTACAGAACAGCTATTACTATTAAGAAAATACGAAAAGACTTTTTCGACTACGAAATAAGTTGCCTGTGCTTCACTATGCGCTTTTGGTGTAAGGTACCAACAAGCAGTGAACTGAAATTTTTTCAAATAATTTTGTTCAAAATTTTTCTTCCACATTTTTTATTGTTTCCATTCTTATCATGTTTTTCCTCACATCGTTCGCTTATACCCATTTAACATTTCTCTTTTTTATGTCAACATTTCACACAGCAGGCCGGAAACTCTCCCTCAAATAATTTGCGGTTTTCACAAGTTATTCGTAGATCGCTGCATCTGTAAAACAAAACAGAAAATAAATTACTTTCATTCTGTTTTGTAAACGCTACTGATAAATCTGAATCATATGTTTAGTTTATTTTCATTTAATTAACTTTCGCAGTTGACATTGTTTTCACTTTGGCTACACTTCACTTACTTAATCACTTGCGTCACATATTCCCTGCTGCAGCGCGCGCGCTGTACGCAGATACCGTTCGTATTGGTGCCATAATCCACATATTCCACGCTCTTATCGGTGGCGGCATCGTACGTTATTACTTGAGGGCCGGTGGTCAGTGCCGTGTAACTGCAACTCTTGACTGAAGCTGTGGAGTAGTCCGAAGCTTTTTAATCTGCTGATAATTTTACTTAACAAAAATACTTAAGCATACACATAATGCACCATAATAGAACTTTCATCCAAACCAGGGAATTGCTGGTTGGAATTGGTGGTAGGTTAACAACTTTTTTCGAAAAACAGATTGATACAACAAATGAAGGTCGCTTGGAATAGAACTTATACTAAAAATGTATTATGCTAACAAAGGAAAATGAAAACGATCTCTAGCGGAGATCTCAAAGGACGCGGCGAAACTTTTGCTACTTATGTAAGGTCATGAAGTATCCACCTATTGTCTTAGTATCCTTTTTTGGGATATATTCCCTCTTTTGCCTATCTTCTCGGCCTACAAATAGGCGGATTTGAGCCCAAAATACCAAGACCGAAAATCGTTGAATTGAAAAACCCACGACCAGGTTTGAGAATGGAAAAGAAATCTTCCAGAGTAGACAAATATTCAAGTCAGTCACTGATTCAAGCACTGAATCAGGAAGTAAAATTTCTATTCCGAATGCCTCATTATTTGCATATACATATTAAATACTTCTGACCAATATTCATCAACATCTACTAGGGTACGAATAGAGCCGTTTAATCAAATTTAATTTCACTTACACGCTTGGGGACTGCAGAGCACAACCAGCAAAATCAGCACACTAATAAATTCAGTTGTTTTCATTTCAGTGGAAATAATTCAATTTTTTCGTGGATCACTTTGAGTTAGCAAACTTTTCGTGAAGACTTCGGGTTATATATTTGACACAGCAATTTTTCAAAAAATAGATTTAATTATTTTTTGTTTGTTTTTGTAAAAAAATTAGTGCAATTTTTTTTTATCAGACATTTATGATCTCAATTTTCATTCAACAGAATATATAATATATCATTCCATTCGCCAAACTGATTTCGTTCAAACGGTAAAAACCGAACTGAAACCCGAATTTAATTTTCCACTCGCTTTTATACCAACGAACTACCCGACACACAACAACTCAATTAAGTGATGGAAAAAATTCAATTTGTAATTACGAGTATTATGAAATTCTTACAAGTCGCCACCAGCGCCATGAGGAGCCCTCAACCGTTAACCTTCTGTGACTTGCACCAGATTCATTTGTTTACGCACTTTCCCTGGCAATACGCGAGCAAGTCAAGTGATTTTAATTATTCTTTTCTTCACTTGTTGTTGTTACGCCAAGCGATTGCATGAAGGCGCCCAGCGTTGTCAATACGCGTATGTAAGTATATATGCACAGCAAGCGCCGATAAGCTTGAGAATTTCGGTGCACCAGCAAAGATCGCTTGCAGAGTGCGTTTGTCGATTGCACGACATGCCTACCCCTCGCCCGCACAAGCTGGTTTCAGTGTCAAAAGCTGGTAAAATCTGGCAAGCAACTGATTTCATCAAGTGAGCAGTGCAACGTGTCTTCTCAGTAGTAAACTGAGAGCCAAAGCACGGAATGCGCCTTTCGCGAAAGCCGAAGTCAGTTGTCAATCGTGTTGCAGAATAGCAAATCAATTATTGCACGTGAAGACGCAGTGTAACTTTCTTTTGTAGAAGTGTTAGTCTTTATAGTATTTTACTGCTTTAAGCGTCTACCGTTATATTAATGAGTGTACGCAACCGATCATGCGTGCAAATTGATAACGGAATCGGAGTATACACTTTTTTAAGTTCATGTCCCCATTTCCATTTTACGCAAAGTAACTTTCTTATAAGCGATTGATTTTAACTAAGTGGTTTACGTCACAAGAACCGGGTGATTTACTCGTTTAACAGCTGTGACTGAGAACTAGGTAACTGTCAGCGACATCATTTCCCTAAATTTAGGGAAATATGTTAGGTTAGGCTAGACAAATAAGCTGATTTCTCGTGAGGCCACGAATAAGCCCTTTTGGACAGCTGGAGACGTTTGTGCGTGATGCACAGAACTCCAAGGTATGGATCAAAAAGACTGTCACATAACGACAAATCACCTTTTTAAACTTTTCAGGAATATGGCAATGTATTTTTATGTGATTTACTTCCTCATCGTTGAACTGTGTTTCTGTTTCCACAGAGGATATCATTATTAGTTTTCATAACTTTTTCATTACTATATTTTATATATATTTAATCATTAAGGTTTTTTTTTTTTTKATTTCGGATGATTCTTAACTTATCTGACACGTCGTAAAAAGACTACGTACCCCTCCGATTTCCCCCTACCATTTTATTGCTAATTCATTATTAATTATTGCTTAATGTGCTTATTATATTGTATATAACTTCTAAAACCACCTTTGGCAGATCGGCATCTGAAAATTGAGAAATAAATAAATTCCAGATTGTCGAATATAAAAGCAGTCGTCCGACAACCAGCTTACTAAGCAGACCTACGCATAGATTTGAACAGTGTAACAAACGGTAACTCCGGTCAAAAAACATGAAATTGTTAACAGTAATAAGCCTTGCATTCTGCTTGTTTGCCTCTGTGGCAACGCAGGTCTACCAGTCCTACGTTCCCAACTCGCCTGATCCAAGTAAGCGGCAGTAAACTGATAACAATCTTCACTCATACTTCTTAACATATCCACTAGATAATCCGGGTCATTGCTTCCACAAGGAGCTGCAGCTCGCCATCAAACTGGACGAGACCATCACACCGAGCAATGTAGACTTGTGCGCCGAATTGACCTGCGAGGAGGGAGGACTAATACGTCTCGGTCACTGTTCACGCGTGTTTCCTATTTGCAAAGACTTCCTGTATCACCCCCTAGATTTTGCTAAACCCTTTCCGGACTGTTGTGAGCGTTACACGTGCAATAAATAGTCGTTGATACCATTTTGGTACAGTCTATCATTTAGTGAGTTTTAAAAAGATGATTTGTTTCAATTCTAGGCCCCCTTCGGAAGCGGAAGTGTAGCCTATCATCTTGCTATGTTTAGCATATTTTTTTCGCTATTATAACTACTGCTTATACGATATTTCTACTCACAAAATAGCAGTTAATTGATGCCAAAGCTGTGCATTCCACCAGCTGTGAAATATTGGCTACTTGCGACTAAGTAGGCAATTGAGAAATAAAGTCTTCTCTCGAAGAACCAAAAACCAAATTCTATAAGTCTCTTATTATTCCCGTCATGCTATATGGGGCCAAGGCATGGACGATGACAACATTGGGGCGATGTTACAAGTTTTCGAGAGAAAAGTTCTGCGAAGGATTTATGGTTCTTTGCGCCTTGGCCACGGCGAATATGGCATTGTAACGATGAGCTATATTAGATATACAACGATTGAATTAAGAAACAGCGGCTGCGCTGATGAGTCTTGTCGTACGTATGGACGAAAACACTCCAGCTATGAAAGTATTCGACGCAATGCCCGCCTGGGGAAGCAGAAGACTTCCACTCTCTTGAAAGAGGTGAAGAAAGACCTGGTTTCGAAAAGAAGAAACGACTGGCGCGCTGTTGTTAACGCGGCTAAAACCGCATAATCGGTTTCAACAAAAGTAAAAAAGCGAATATAGGTTTCTTAAAGTGTCGTCGTCTTATTACAAGCCCGAGTAATCGCAAAAATTAATTCTTTAAACTTTAGTCTACCAAATATGTGTATTACTATTGCAGGCTTTTCCACATACCCAAGAATGACAGAAATGTGGTCATCATTAATTCTGTAATTTTTGTAGAAACCAAGAATTCAGATGGTAGGCGAATCCTCGAATGACTAAAGACAATTTTTTTATTTTAAGGAAATAGTGGGTGTGGGATGTGCATCATTGAACTGCGTTCCTGTTCCCACAGAAGATTATATTATTAGTTTTCATAACTTTTTCATTACTATATTATATTATGTATATATTTAATCATGAAGGTATTTTTCTTGTTGATTTCGGATGATTCTTAACTTATCTCGCACGTCGTAAAACGACGTACCCCTCCCATGATTTCCCCCTACCATGTTATTGCTAATTCATTATTAATTATTGCTTAATGTGCTTATTATATATAACTTCTAAAACCACTCGAATGACGCCACACCGTCTCAAGCCTCAGCATCTGCCGTCGCACCTTTGGCAAATCCGCATTTGAAATTTAAAAAATAAATAAATTTCAGCTTGTCGCATACCAAAGCAGTCGTCCGGCAACCAGCTTGCTAAGCGGACCTACGCATAGATCTGAACGGTGTAACAAACGGTAAATTCAGTGAAAAAACATGAAATCGTTAATAGTAATAAGCATCGCATTGTGCTTATTTGCGACAACACATGCCGAGTCCTACGTTCCCAACTCGTCCGATCCAAGTAAGCTGCAGTAAATGGTTTTCATAACAATCTTCGCTCATACTTCTTAACATATCCACTAGATAATCCGGGTCATTGCTTCCACAAGGAGCTGCAGCTCGCCATCAAGCTGGACGAGACCATCACACCGAGCAATGTAGACTTGTGCGCCGAATTGACCTGCCAGGAGGAAGGACTGATACGTGTGGGTCACTGTTCACGCGTGCAACCTATCTGCAAGGACTTCCAGTATCATCCCCTAGATTTTACTAAACCCTTTCCGGACTGTTGTGAACGTTACACGTGCAATAAATAGTCGTTGATGAGGTAAAGTAAGGTGTTTGTTTTCTCTTTAGAAATGTTAAGTTGAATGGAGCCCTGGGACAGTCTGTCATTTAGTGAACTTTGGAAATGTGGCTGCTTTTACTCGTGACAAATTTTGCTGCCAGCGCTTTGGTAACAACTAATTCGTAAGGCCACCCTTGTTTTGAAACGGAAGTGTAGTTAGCATCTATCTATGTTTATCATCTTATTATCGCTGTTATTACTACTGTTTGTACGGAATTTTACTCAAAAATTAACAGTTAATTGATTCCAAAGCTTTACAGTCAACCGGCTGTGATATACCTCTCAGCATTGCATCTATTATTCGACCTGTTCAGCAAACCCGTTTTCGTCTTAAATTATAATAAAAAAGACTGCTGTTTGTAAATACTTTGTAACAGGTGACACATCTGTATATCTACTTGTATTGATTACTAATAAGCTGCTAGTGAAAGCATTCTTATGTTATCGACTTTCTGCTTTTCTCGATTAACAGATTTTTTTTTTTTTTTTTTGTAAGCAATAGTCAAGGGTAGTCTTTAGACATAGCCACAAAATCAATTCCAAAATAATTGAATAAATAAAATGAAAACAGATCAAATTTATAAATTCCATATTTTTCTTTATTTCAATCTTTTTTAACAGTGTTCATTTGTTATTAGTTCCGATAACTCGGCATCAGCCAAAAATTCAGAATCGATCGAACGCTATTTATTTCATTTGGTACTCTTCCCTGTCATTTAACACTTCATACAGCACGCTGGGAATACGGTTTCAACGTTTCCGCGGTTATTGCAGTCCACTTTGTAATCATTACAGCTGCAAAAATATGTATAATAATCGATTAGAAAAAGCTATCGAGATATGGAAATATTGTAATGTTGTGCCACATGAAAATAATGAACTCTAGGATCATACCAACAGGTTTCTTATACTGTTATTGCTTGTAAATATACTCCTATGAGCCACCCTTCTTTCTGGTAACTTTATAGTTAATACTTACGACTCGACCTTCGTAGAGTAGTCCTCCTGGCACACAGCTCTTTGCGAGCACACGCCATCCGTTCCGCTGCCATTATCGATGTAATCCTCTCCCTCCTTTATGCCGGGGAAATAATGTAAAAACACCATTTTGCCATCGAGCGTGGTATAGCCACAGACCTGTGGTGACCCTAGCGAAATAGAGTAATAGTAATGAAGTTTTTTTCATTTTTAAATTCGTTTTTTGTCTTGTGTTACTCACTGGCTTCGCTGCCGGCGTACAAACACATAGCCGCCAATAATAACAACAAATATGGTTTCATTGCTTGTTACGTTTCGACACTTCGATTGCTATTGATTCGCTTAACAAATTCGCGAACAATTTTATAGGCACTACAACAACAACAAAGTGAAGAGGCATTAGCAATGCAGAGCCGACGACTGCAACGACTCAAATTAAGTATTCGTCAAATGATAAGCAAATATCAAATGCTTTCAGTGGGCAATTTGGCTAATTACAATAAATTTGCACGATGAACACGTTATGAAGTCGTTGAATGGACACACAGTGGCCGACAAAAGGCGTCGGACAGCTATTTTGTTTTTGAGACGTGCTGATCAGATGAGGACGAAATGACGGTTCCGAGCTGTCGCCAGTTGCTGTGACAAAGATTGAAAGTGCAAGCTTGCAAACTCGGTTCTATTTCGCAACATTTAGAAACCCGTAATTGAAAGTCTCTGTGACCGAAATTTACATGTCAAGCAGGCTTACCCAAATGTTGCTTTAGCAAGAAGTAGTGTGTGGCACCATGCTTTTTTGGAGGGCCGGAAAGAGGTCGGTGATGAAGACTTTGCTGGGAACCTGCGACTTCGACAAAAATCTACAATGTGACTCGTGTGCGTGTTGAACTCAGGCCGTCGACTAAGTATTCGTTTAATTGCCCAGATGTTAAATTTATCAAAAGCTGTGGTTCGTGACATTGTGACGGAGCACTTGAACATGAGGAAGGTGTGCTCGAAGATGGTCCCAAAAGTGCTCACTGATGACCAGAAATTGCGACGAGTGAAAGTGTACCGAAAAAATTTGAACATGTGTGAAAGTGACACCCATCCTTTGAATAACGTAACCAAAGGGACGAGTCATGGATCTTTGAGTATGATCCCGAGGCAAACGTCGATGAAAAGCAAGCATTTTGTGACGGCAGGGGAGCTCCAAGCAGCATGCACCTCTTCTCTCAAGGCTATTCCAAAAGCAGAGTGATGCCTTCAATGCTTGGAAATCGCGCTGGCAGCGCTGTATCGACGCAGAAATAGCATATTTTGAAAATGTTTAAAGAATTGTAAGGATTGGTTCAATAAATTCTTTTAAATCGACTCAGTCCCATTACTTTCCGGGCAAACCCAGTAACTGTGTGTAATTGTAATGTGAAAGTATATAAATATTTTATTTTATTTTAATTAATTCTTTTTCTTTTAATTTAATTTAAATATTTTTTTATTCCATTTTATTATATATTGTATATTTGTAAACGTGACAATCTACTTAAAACAAGAATAACAACAAAGTCAATTGATAATTGAAAGAATTAAGTTTCAGCAATTAAGTCGCAATTAAAAAATTAAATGAAATTGCTGTCGGTTTGACACACTAAGCGCGGACAACAAGCTGGATATGCGCGCCGCATATCCGATTCGATGCTGCATGTCGCGTTCGGCTGCAGGTTGTGACGGCCACAGCTGTGGTGGAATAAAAAAATAAAAATAAAATAAAGAAAACGAAATTTGCGCTCATCGAAACAGCCGCATGCTGTGAAATATTGCGCATGAAATATACATTTTATATTTTCGAACTTACTATCGAATTTCGAGCACAAAGTCTTTGCGACAGAAAATCGATTCGCAACGACCATCACGGTTTATCGGCTTGTAAGACTGATTCGTGGGTATCGGTTGACGCAGTTCCTCGTAGTAGCATTGACCAGGGTAATCTGACAGAAACGCGGAAATTATAAACTATATAATTTAGCAAGCATTTATGAAAGCCATTTTTTTATTTTATTGACTTTCCTATTTAATTATAAAACACTAAACCATAAATCTGGAACTTGCAACTTTATATTTTTATGAAGAATTTATTCTTATGTGTTTTCATTATTTTTTTATTTTTTCCAAAAACCAAAATTTTGAATTTTTATTTTCCACTAAATTTGAAATTAATTAAAAACAAGTTTGAAAAAAATTTAAATTAAAAAAATAAAAAAAAAATTTCATTTAAATAAAAAAATACTATTTATCGAAACTTAAGATATTATTAACAATTAACAATTTCTCGGCCTCACACACCTGGATGTACTGCATTGCCGCGGTAGCGTAAATCCCCCGAAACGCTATGGCAGGCCAAAACACCCAACAACAAAAAGCACAGCAAAGTGGCTTGCATGACTTTTAATGAGCAAATTATTTTCAGCAAAACGTTTTATCGGTAATTATTTGATACTATCACTATATATTTATAACTTTTTCGAATTCTCTTTCAATTACTTTCGCTATTTGTTGTATTTTTTTAAGTATTGTTTTAAAGCTTTTGCGATTTTGCACCACCTCACACCTACGAAATGGTCTCAAAAAACTATCCAAACACTTCAAACTCGCGATACACTTCGCTTTGCGGCGTTATTTTCGCGACTGAACACTTCAAAAGCCATTGTTGTTGCTTTTATATAAAATTAATTATGGACCATTTGTGGGCGGAGCGTGTAGTCTTTGCAAGACAATAAGTCAGACAAGCGGACCGACTTGCATACAAACACTTGCCGTCTGCACACATCCAAACACACACTCGTTTAAACATACATACACACGCACGCATACCGTTATTTCACTACAAACTACTCATTCAGAAGATTTATTCGCAGGTCTGTTTAATTTCTGTCTTCTTGCTCTAGTTTTGATTCCAGCACACGGCTCTTATTGATATTTTTACTTTATGACAGTGATTACTTTTGCTTTTGTTTTTGTGTTTGTTTATCCAGTTGTGTCGCCTTCGCCGGGCATTGTTTGCCGTCTTTACACATTGTTTAATTAATTAAGTTCAAGCGAGAAGCTGCGTCTCATTGAAAATGATCCAGAAATGTAAGCGAGTTTGAGTTCAGGCTCAAAATTGTAAGTGTCAGTCAAGCATTGAAAAGCGAAAGTGATGAGGTTAGTGGGAATATGGAGAGTTTTTAGTTCTCTGTCTTGGAAAAATCGCAGATTTAGAAGCGAGTTCATCTCCACATCCTTCTAAGACGTCTCTCTATTTACTATAATGACATGCAGTACCATCATGTGGGTGTAACTTTGCGGAACTAAAAGCTAAAAATTAGTAGCCCTCCCCACAAAAACTTCCTGAACTCCTTTTAAGTTCTTCTCTGGATCTTTCCAAGACGTCTCCCGTTTTACGCAAAAGCTATAATGGCGTATACTGCGATGTGGGTGTAGCTTTGCGAAACTGAAGGTTGGAAATTGTTACACCTCTCCACAAAGACTTCCTGAACTCCTTTTGAATGGAAGCCACAAATCTTTTGGGGATAGCAAAGAAGGCAGATTAATTTAATAAAAACTTCGAGAATATTGTATTTCTGCTTGTACTAATAAAGATGGATCCCAAAAATTCAATTCTACCCGGTATTTCTATAAAAAAAATTCTTTGAGACCTCCCAAAAATGGAAGAACGGGCGATTTTACAATTTAATATGAGGGATGTTTTCTTTTTGAAGTTATTTATTTCCCCAGGTCAACAATTTCATGTTGTTACTATCCTGTATTAAGTGTCTCCTTTTAGTCTAATTTTCGTACTGCTAAGAGACCTCAGAAGATCCAAGAACAAATTTTTACATAAAAGTTTTTGTATGGTGGAGCCACAGGCTCGAGTTATTACTAAAAATCGTGATGGAAATTACTTCGCTAGATGTCGCCAAAGTCGAACTAATATGACCCGATAACTGGGCTTATACGTTAAAAGTAAGCTTTGCAGTGGAGTTTGCGTCATCGTGCAAAACCCTGAAGGGCGCCGAATTCGAAATATTTAGTCACATGCTTAATTCTGTGAAATCCTGACTTATTTATAGTTATAAAAGTATTTACAGTGAGAAAATATAAGAAATAAGAAAACGATAAGTAATATTCGGGGAATTCTTAAAAGAAACAACAATAAATGGAAGCCCATTAAAAATTAAAACAAAAAATCCAAATAAACTAGCTTAAGAGCAGTGGAGACAACGCTTGTCCGCTTAGCGCTCACGACTTCAATGCGAATTAAATGAGCTAACAACGGCAAACTGACGACAGTTTTGCATTAATTAAACACGCCATACACACACGCTCACACAAACGTTGAGAATGCGCAGTTGTTTATAAACAAATAGACATATGGTGTTATGTTATTAAGCAATTTGTAAAAATTATAAAATTCTGCAATAATTCCGCACCTCGAAGACACCTGCCTGAGCTCTTATTGTTATTTTTATTTAGTTGTGATACTTATTTACTTAATCTTGGGTCAATATACCATAAACATTTCGTTCATTGCTTAAGCCTAGGCCAAAAAAAACTTAAATTGCAGTTAATCTGTTTTTTGCGGTTCATTTCAGTTTTATTTCAAGTACACACATAACGACACTTGATGTCTCAAGTAGCGCGGCAGACTGAAATACACCGTGCGAAATTCGTTTAACATTTAAAAACTATTTCACAGATTTCAGCTCAAGTTGTGACTTGATTAAGTTGATGTGAGGTTTTCAATAAGAAACGCTGGTAGCTGTGCCAGCCAATCCCTGCGTTCGTGCTGTATGATGTGATCTGAAATTCCGGCGCGCTGCTTTGGCTGGCTTACCGTCTGTATAAGCAACACTGGTAGCTACGCTAGCCAGTCATTTCGTTCGTGCTGTATGATGTAATAGCAGGCATAGCCTTCTGGCTCGATGTTGTTTTTGTAGATACAGCTGATCTCATAAACAACTTCTTAGCGACCCTTTGATAAGATACATTTGGGTATGTGTGTATGTCGTATGATCTCAGTGCATGAAAGTGAATTTGAATGGATGCTGATAAGGCGACTAACTGTCGTTTAATGGAACCCACTAGCATACATAAAGTATGAGTGTATGTATATATATGTATATGGAATTTTATTTTTTTGTTTATAATTTTTTCTTAATATTATTATGTTTCTATTATTAATTTCTTTATTTTCAAAAATATGTTTTTGATTGATCGCAGCTGTTTTAAAGAAATTATTGAACTGCTAGACCTATAAACAAGCACACATACATATGTACATATGATAACTCAATGCATGTAGTATTGTTTGTACATATGTATGTATATATGTATGTGTGATTGCCGCGCAGATCAATAACCTTTGAATGCTTTCTGTGCTTTTTTTAGAGCTAAAAGAGATAAGCGTAAAGGTTCCTGTTTAAATCTTGAAATATTTTTTTTTTTTTTTTGCTTATTACATGCCATATTGAGTTTATTCTCTTGATTGATGATGGATTTTGATTTTTTTTTAATATTTTAATTAAACCAAAAAAATTTTATGAATTTAAGATTTCAATTTTTTTTTTACTTTTGTTTTGTTTTTTAGTTTTTTTTTTCAATTATTTCAATAGTAAATTTCTTTATTTTCATTTATGAATATAAAAAAATTATTTAATATTTAATTAATATAAGATTTCAATTTTTTTTTACTTTTGTTGTGTTTTTATTTTTTCTTTAATTATTTCCATATATAATTTTTTATTTATTTTCTTTTATATTTTTTATACATATGCCTGTTTTATTGTATTTTATCGGTTCTTAGTGTATTCCTGGCGTTTAAAAAAGTAGCTATATATGTATATAATTTTGCTATTTCATTTTCTTCACTTAAACGTTCATTTCGCCTTCCCGCCTCCAACCAACACAATATGTTTCTGGTTTGATTACATTTCTACAAAACTATTCGGCAGCAAATAACAGTTATTTTCTATACTTACGAATATGGAAATAAATAATCTCACGCAATTTGAACTTGAGCCGCCTCTGTTGCCGTCGCCGTCGCAGTTCGCATCGGTGTCGTCAACTCGTAAGCCTCACCAGTCGCGCCAAGAACGCCTCTCAATTCATTGTTATGATAATCCCCATGCCAATTAAACACCGCTTGTTAGTCATAAAGCGAAAATATATACTACATACATGCACTGGGAAGCTGTAAATTTTTTAATTTTAAATCAATATTAACTTTACACTACGCTCTTTCGGTCATCAAAATTTGCACAACGAAATTTAGTAACACTCGCAACTCTTTCGCAAGCGCGGCCGCTACTCTGACATTTCTACGCTTGAACGGGGCGTGAACGCCAACAAACATTAAAGCTAAAGTAATCAGTCTTGTGACCGGGTAATTACAACATATTTGTTTGTGGGTAGTATAAACATGGCGTAAGAACTGTAAAATATAGATATAAAAATTAATATTCCTGTGAAAACCATCCGTTAAAGCTATCAGGGTTGCATTTATCAGCAACACACTAAGTTCCAATATTACTCGGAACACGTGCGAGGATTTTCGCGAAATAAAATCGTTCGTAGTAAGGAATAAGAAGGCAGTCGTTGCCGTTTTAGGTGCAAGCGAAAGGAAGAGAGCTAAAATTGTAAAAACGACAGTTTAACACTAGTCGCAACCAAATTTCGATCTTAAATATATATCGGCAATCATACTTTAAACATATTTTAGCCTAGGAATCATTGCGCTTGGACGCAAAACTGTTTCTTTTTATTTTCTTATTTGTAGTGTTCTTAAAAAAAAGCCTGCGCCTTATTGCATTACTTCACAGAAATATTAATCTTCATTTTCAGGAAAATATACAAAATGTCCCCCCTGCTCATTTTCATCATGTGCGCCACATTGCCATTAACTTGGGCATTCTCTACACAGTATTATGGCAACACCAAACACGCCGGTAAGTCAGTTATATATGATTACTATTTATTACTCCATATGCACTTATACTTTACGTCAACAGCAACGGTACATTTGACTAACACTTGCATGCCTTTTTAATACTCTAGCTTTTTGTAGTATAATTTGTTTCTTATATTGGCTAGTCGAAAAGGTCTTTTCGTATTTTTAATTAAACTTCACATTGAAATTGCCCGAACGGAAGCGAGCAAACCAGTGTAGTGCTATACAAACTGATACAGCATCGTCTCCGTAAAGTTCACAAATTTCATTGGTGGCTTGCGTGGCATTCCTCCCTTTTTTCACAAAAATCTCAAAATGTAGCGAATTTCTTAATTTTTGAACAGCTGTAACTTTTTTCAACTCCCCGAATTAAATTTTTTGTCAAATAAAGCTTAGAATCTCACCTTTCCAACACCATATGACACAATGTGATTGGTAGCACTGGAGATATACGACTGCAACGACATCYATTGACAAAATACGAAACGACTTTTTCGACTACCCAATATAATGTTTATATAACACTTAAAAAAAACAAACGAAATTCACGGAATCTCAAATCTCTTATCGATGAAACTTTACAATTTCTTCTATATTTTTCACGAATTTTCAGCATTCGAAAGTTAGTGCCTTATAGTTAGCTTCTTGTGTAAAAGATTTGTATGAAAAAAATTGTGAAATAGTCCACAACATTTCTAAACATATATAAAATTTTCCCACTTTTGAAAAATATGGCAATTTTTCTAACTAACATTTTTTAAATTTTTTTCTTTTTTTCTCAAAAAGTGTTCGATTTTTCATTTCATAAACTCTAACTGCAATTCCATAAAAAATAATTCATTCGAAATCATTTTCATACAAAATATGCAATACTTTTTCTTATCGATTTTTTGATTCACGATTTTTTGTTCCGCAATTCAGCGCTGCCAAACCACTGTTACCACGAGGAATTGAAACTAGCGGTGCCGGTCAATGACACCCTGTATCCCACAGATATAGAATTTCAATGCATAACGGCATCTTGCCGCCATGATTATGTGCTGGTGATAAAGCAGTAAGTTGATCCGTTTTAATGTACAAAGCATATACTTTTAATCCGAGCACCCGACTCTTAGTGTTTATTCCGCTAACTTCACTCTTTCGGGAATTTAATATCTAAATCAATGTTTGTGCCCTCCTCCCCTGCTAATATCAATTTTTCACTTACAGCTGTGACCGTTATCTGCTACGACATGGCTGCATTGAGCAGCCACCCGATTATAGTCGGCCTTATCCCGGTTGCTGCACCCAAATTAAATGTGCCGATTAAAACATTTTAACTTCGTATGTATTTGTAAGGAGTACCTATTAATTTAAAATTATGAATATGGCAAATAAACAAATCTTAATCGAAAAAAAGCGTGTCACTGACGTAAGAAAAAATACCCGAGCACTTTTTTGATGATAATCAGAAAGTACATAGAAGTAATAAAATCACTTATAGCTTAGCTTGAGCATCCAAAACATTTGTGTTTGTGTTAAAAAAATACTCACCCCCTCTCACCCTGCCATCTTACGTAGATCCGAACCGGTTCGGCGTCGTTGTGCAATCCGCTGCGTAATTCAAAATCGTACAGAACCGTGCTGATAGTTGTACTGTTTGAGCAGGCAATGAAAGCATTGAATATTAGAAATTAGAAACAAAAACAATAATCAACAACAAACATCAAATCGAAAAGTACATAAGCGCTGACATTGAGCCGGCAGCGCACAGTCGCTCTTTGAGTTTTGTCGCGTGAACATAATTTTTTCTGTCTTAGAAATCTCCCAAAAGTTGCCATGAAGTTTGTAGGAGTTTTTGCATTGCTGTTGGCGTTGATGTTGGCTGCACTGCTGGACTGCACAGTAGCCGGTAAGTGAGACGACGCGACGGCGCAATGCCGGCAATGCACGAGATGTTATATACAATTTGTTTCTCCTTTAATTCTACAAAAGCCGATTGCGAGTATCGCGGACAAAAGGCGAATAAAGGCGAGAATTTCCAAATAAAAGGCGAGTGCAGCCAGTACACCTGCGACGGACCCGGCGCTATCTCTGCCAAAGCGTATGTTGCTGCTCGGACTTTGTTCCTCCAGTTACCTTTAATTATTGTTTTTTTTTCGATTTTATTGTTGTAGTTGCCCGTCCATTTATGCGGCGCCAAGTTGCAAGTACACGCCGCAGGATGACTCGAAGCCCTACCCCGCCTGCTGTGAATCGTACGATTGTTAGCGACCCATGCGTGCGCGTGAAATTGTTTTTGTCTGGTTTGAAATGATAAATAAAAGAACAAAATTTTGAAATATCTACAGGTTGAACATAAAACTTTCTCTTTTTAATAATTAATTTTTCTGTTTTTGAAAATTCTGAAATATTTTTGATTTGACATGAAATTTATGTTTTTTTATAACTTTCAAATTTTTTAAAAACATTTTTAAATGTTGAGCTTTTATTTTGTTGTATATTATAAGGAATTATTCATTCCGAATGGCTATCAAGCGAGTTGCTTTCGAATGCTGAAAATTCCTACCATACAGTTAACCTTTTAATTTATTTGTACCCACTTTAAACCCAAATTTCCACTCCGTTGGCCACTTCATTGCCCAGTAAATACAATTAAGTTAGTTATTTATTGGAATTTATTTTTATATTGATATTCTCACTTCGGCTCCACTAGCTCCGAGCACTCGTTCCAATCCTCCTTTATAAATACTGCCGCACGTTCGCCGATCATAATCGCTGGCGCATTCGTATTGGCCCGTGGCACATCCGGCATAATGCTGGCATCCGCCACACGTAAATTCTGCACGCCATACAATAGTAGGCGTGGGTTGACACAAGCGTCACGATCGCGCTTTGGTCCCATTTTCACCGTGCCAACGTGGTGAAAACCTCCCTCGCCCATATATTTGATGTAACAGTGCCAATAGGCGTCCGAACGGTACTTATAGCTGTCGCATTCGTCACACGGTATATGAAGCAGAGTTGCATTTAGTGCGCGCATGATCTTTGTGCGCTCCAGCCTTTCAAGAAAACGGATACCGCGAAGCATAGTCGCTATATCTTCAGGATCATCAAGGTAATTGGAGTACATGCGTGGCGTATCTAGATAATTGACACTGCGTAGTCGCAATTCGCCAACGGAACGCGGTTTGGCGAGTATCAACATGAAGTTTATCAAATGCGAGTCCTTGAAATGTTGACTTATGCTCGCAATTATCTTCTCATCCCGCCTGGCCATGTGGCCTTGGAACAGTTGCCTGTTTTCATTTCGATAGAGATTATAATGGAACTCAATGTCTGGAACCGTGCTGTCACCTTTGGTATTTAGGAAAGACGTAAGACCACTGGGAATGCCGCTCATATTCCCTCGATTATGTATTAGATAATCGTAGATGGCATCTGTTGGACGCAAACTATGATGTCTGGGCTCAACTAAGGTGTTATTGGGTAATCTGAAAAAGATCGTAGTGATAACATGGTCACGCAAATTCGCGCCAACCGCCAAGTCGCGCACCACCGGAATGCGCAAATCTTGGAGATGCTTGCGCGGGCCCAAGCCGGATAAAAGCAAAAGCTTCGGTGAATCTATAGCACCAGCTGAAAGCACTACCTCTTTGCGCACTTCGGCGCTTAGCTCATGCACGCCACGCAGCACGAACGTTACCTTGGTGGCTACCTTACCGCCACGTTCGAAGTGTATCTTGCGAACATGTGCATTTTTTATCACGTGCAAATTGGGACGCCCGGACACTTTAGCCAAATGCACTTTGCCCGTGGACATCCGTCTACCAACTCTCGCCGTAACTGGCAAATACATTGTACCTATTTCTATGCCATTCTCCAGCTTTCCCAACCGTGGTAAGCCCAACTCTGCAGTGGCATTGAAGATCACGTTGCCTATTGCCAATTTTTCGTCTGAGTAATTCTCGTTCAGCACTACATAGCCTTTTGGATGTGTGGCATTACCCACTGGGCGCACCGCTTTCTCATAATAGCGCTTGACATCCGACCAGCCCCACTTTGTGTTGCCTGCTGCCAGCCAATCGTCGAAATCCTTGCGATGTCCTTCCACGTACATCATTCCGTTGATTGCGCCTGAACCACCTATAGTCTTACCGCGTGGATGAAAGCAGAGGCGGCGCGTAAGTCCCTGACAAATATGCGGAAGTGGTTCGGAATAGTAACTAAAGGTGTGAGGGCTTTGCTGCACAGTACTAGTCAAGCTAGGTATCTACAAAAAAAATGGACTTAATAAAAAAAAGTCTATAAAAGAGTGTCTTTAACCTCTGACTCTTGTGGCGGGTCGTCGCCTGCTTCCAGCACCAACACGTTCCACTTGGGATTCTCACTCAAACGACTAGCCACCACCGAACCTGCTGAACCGGCGCCTACCACAATGAAATCGTATTTTCCAAGCCCCTCTTTTATAGCCGTATTACCATAGTCCTTTGGCCAATTCGGTTCTGCTGAAATAGCACATTGTGCTGTTAGCAGTGTCTGGACCAACGTAGACACCAAACTGTTGACTGTACCTAAGCTCTGCGATGCGCAAGGCAGCTGAAACGAAGCGCTTGCCATAACGGGTATTTTGATTATATTTACAAACTTGTGAATATCATATTTCGAAAGCTGTTGTCCCAATTTCGAAACACGAAACGCGTGTAGGCGATTAATTGTTTCACTGCGATTTGTATAAGGCCATTGTTTACGGAAATAGGTATCTTATTATAAATTAACTACAATGAGAATAAGCGATTGCATTTTCGGCTGTGGTATACTTTTAGCCTCAGCAGTAAGTTAGCAAAAAGGTCAGTAGGTTCTTGGAAGTTTGGAGATCACTAAATCATATCCATATTTGGATACATCATACAACCAAGAGCAGATATACTTCATTAGCTGTCGCTTACAGCCCATAGAAAAAACATTTTCTGGAAATTTTGGTACCAAAGCAGTCTTTTTGACAGTCCGGACAGCCGGAACATATAATACAATGAAATGAAACAAATGCGAAATATTTCGAACAGATTTTAGTCTAAAATATAACGGCATCGCTTGTGCTTCACAGACAGAGAATGTCTGCACCGAATTTGAACGCATACTGTGCCAATCCCAATGCGGACCTGGCGAACAGTTTGGTGAACACCTCGATACAAACTCTCATTACTGCACAATGCGCCATATCCGCGAAGGATAGTTGGCCCAAAGACTATGGCGAAGAGGCGCTGAAAAGTGGTTTGGAGACTTATGATTTTGTGATTGTCGGTGCAGGTACAGCAGGCTCTGTGGTTGCTAGTCGTTTGAGTGAAAACCCTAGTTGGAAGATACTGGTGTTGGAGACTGGCAGCGATCCACCCCAGGAATCTGAGGTAAACGTATTTCTCCGATTTCCGTATTTATTAAAGGCTTTCACTTTTTGAAAATATTTCTAAGATTCCCGCCTTATACTCACAAACGTTGTTCACAAATTAGACCTGAAACTATTATACCATAGTGGGTTTTGTCAATACGCTGCCCAAAAGCGATGCAATATACCCCACAACATGTTTTATCATTACAGTGACATTGCCGCTGTAAATGTATCGTCCAATTTGCTAGCGCTGCAACCACAATATGCGGATTATCTACGTCGAGCTATAAGTCAAACAGATTTGATGCATACATTCAATGTGCTTGCGCATACAAAGTCAGCCGGAGCAATTCGTTTAAAGAGTACAAACTACAAAAACAAACCGAGCTTTTTACCCAACTATCTCACCACACCAAGGGATTTGGATGACATGGTGCATGGTGTGCGCTTTCTGAAGCGCCTAGAACGCGCTGCAGCATACCGAAGTGTAAATGCCACTATTCTACGAATACCAATAAAAGAATGTGATAAGCTGAAATTCAAAAGTGATGATTATTGGCGATGCTACATTAAGTATTTCACCACGACTAGTTTCCAAGTATGTAGCAGGCACTGGGAAGATGGGTCCACCAACTGACGTCACTACGTGTGTGAATTCTCAATTGCGTTTGCATGGCAGATGCTAGCATTATGCCCCATGTAGTCAGCGCAAATACAAATGCCGCCACAATCATGATACCGGAGCGTGCGGTGGATTTCATAAAAACAGATTGGGCCGCTCTGAAAGCGAAGATACTTACAAAAACAGCCAACTGACATGAAATCTTAACACTTGAGTCGGTGCAAAATTAGCTGTATAGTTGTATTATAGAAACCAACTAGCTACTCATGCATGAATTCGCAAAAGCTATTTTATGTTTCTTTTTTAATTTCTAACGCTGTAATTCGATTCAAAACCGTATGATAGGAAATTTTCCTATTTACACTTCCAAATTTTAGGCTTCTTATAAGAATTTAATTGTGAGTGGCAAACCTTCATGAGCGAATTCAATTCCAACTGAAAACAGTTGGTATTGCCAGATAGTTTAGCTTTACCATTTTTTTGTTTGTTGTCAGTATAAATTTCAATAAATAGAACTGAATAAAATTCCATTCATAAGTATGCCAACTATAATAGCACAAGGTAAATTCAACTATATAATAACCGCGAGTCAAGTAAAGATGAAATCACACGTCAATGACTGGAGAAATTTCTGTAATAAGTGTTTGTGAGTTTCTTAAGCCCTATTTGACTAGTCGTAATAAGGACAGTATCCTTTCTTTCGTATAGGGGTAATGAATTGTAACACGCTATATCTATCAATGTGTTTTAGTTCCGGTTAGTCAAGTCTTGTTTGTAGGAAAATATATGGCAACTACTCATCCCATTTCGCCACAAAGCAGCTGTTTACAGCCCGCAGCTGCGGCGAATTGGCCGCAATTTTCAGTGAAACGTCTTTTTTGTCGGTCTTTTATTGGCATTTGCTTTGGTGTTGTTGTTTCTCCTTTTTACTATTTACCAGCTGCTCCTCATTTCTTTACGCAGAGAACGTCAAATAAACGAAACATTAACGATTAACAAAGCTCAATCAGGAACTCCCGACCGTGTTGCCTTGCCCGGAAAATGCAATACCGGGGCCATTCACTGTCAGTCTTGCCGTCATTCTCGTAGCAAACTCGATTTTCGGATTTTGACAGCAAAGCTACAAGACGGATATGTTTTTTTTTTTTTAATAATTTTTCATATTTTCACATAAGTAAAATTTCTATTTATTATTTATAAACGTCTTTTTAACCGTACGGGAAATAAAATAATAAAAAAATTCCATTACTATTTGATCGACAACATTGGACAGTCAAATAAATTTTCTTGTGCAAAATTGTTTGTATGCCGTTGAACGAGAGCGAAATTTTTATATGAATTCGGTTCTTAGTAAATGCAAATTTTTAATATATTTTAACTATTGGCGGAAATCGCCAATATCTTGCGCTTTGTGTACAAGTGGAGCGTTTTTCGGCGTGACCCTGGGAGGTGGCTGATAAGCATTCCTTATCGAGAATTAGTGTTGTAAAAAACTTTGCCGTGGAGTACCAGAAATTAACTTGGAATAAAGGGGCTTCCAGGAAGCTGAAGTGCCCAAAAGGTGTTGTGAAAGTTTTACTTCGTAAAAGTGGCAAATACAGTGTTACCGTAAAAAATTCACATAAAGAGCCAGAAATAACACCAAATAAAATACCAACAACACCGCCACAAGCCCCAACAGAAAAATCAGAAGTTACAGAAGGCATACCGAAAATATTGCCTAAAATTGTTCCAGTCCGGCAAAATACATCTACAATTCGGCTACAAAGAAAGCCGGAAGCTCGGCAAATCGGGAAAAAAATGGAAAAGAAGTCACATAAAACAATACGCAATGGCAATGTGATAGTAAATAGCGACGGAGGTGTCGCCGGCAGTGCAGTCACATCTGCAATAACGCTTAACACACCCACGCTAGTAGGTGGACAGAAACAGCACACTACAGGCGGTGGCGCTGCATCCACTACCATTGGAAATGCCAGTGGTCTCAGTAGTGGCAGCAAGCATCGCAGCAGCAACTCAAGCCATCACTATCACACCCACCGCGGACACGCTACTAGTCATCACCATCCTCACACACACAGTCAGAAACAGCAAACGCAAATGCATCACGCGCCGAGTCCAGCTCTAATGCTTGCTGTCGGCAAAACGGTCAACGAATCCAGCAAAAGCACGAAAGTTACGAGCACACAAGTCACCAATGTAATGGAACACGCCACTGCGATGGTAACAACAGCCAGTCCCAAGTTAACAACGACGACGGCGATGCGCAACAAAAACGAAGGTGAGTGCACTTGACACATAATTCAACAATGTTTATCATTTGTTTGCATGACAATAAACCGAAAGTGAGAAAAGCCCGTTAGCATATGTATATAGAAAACAAACCATAAGCAATGAAAAATTATTTAAATTTAGCTTTCTAAGCCATGACCATTGATGGAATTTCTTATCGGGCGTTTTGAGTGCGAGGTATGTGAAATTTGTTGTGCTGTCTCGTCATTCATACGTACTTATGCGACCTTTACTAAGGTTGCAGCAGGCTCGACAATATTATCCATCTCTAAAAAGTGCAGTAAGAAAAATAATTAAAAGCTTTTCTTTCTTTCTGTTTATTAGAACAAATTAATAGATATTTAAAGCTTAAAACTGTGCCGAAGTAAATGAAGTACTTTACGTATGCTTTACGTTTATTTGCAATTTTAGTTATTACATGTGAATATTTGCAAGCTTCTACAATAAAATTTTATTATTGCATGTGCAATCGTTTAACAATGTTTTACATAATTCTATAATTAACTAGGCACTCAAATAAACAATCGCGTTGAGCAAGAGCACAACTGTAATCTATAAAAATGTTAATAATTCATCTACGTAGTATTAATTCTCCACCACTGATTAAGTTTTTTTTTTGCTTTTATGTATAAATATCATATTATGTATGTATGTAAATACATACTCGTACATAACTTTCTTATTTGGCCTTTTTTTCTTCTTTTTTTTTTTTGTATTTTATCTATAAGCATTATCTACATATATGTATGTATATAATATCTAAAATTTGTACATACTTCCATGCAAGCATGCCTATACGTCACACAGATAAATTCATCAGGTACTAAATTTATTTTTTATAACTATACTTATAGAGGCTATCAACGACTTACGTCAACGCATTCCTGAAATCGAAAATATATTCGATGTACACAGTCGTATTGGTAATGGCACCTTTAGCACGGTGCTTTTAGGCACTTTAAAGAAGGAGCGTGATTTACCCGAGCACATGCGACGTAAATTTGCAATCAAACATCACATACCCACCAGTCATCCAGATAGGATAATGAAGGAGTTGCAGTGTATGGCGAAAATCGGGTAAGTGAGGGTAGAGGGAAAGCGTTTAATAAGTTCTCAACTGATAACAGCCATGACTACATGCATACATATGTAAACATCGAAATCGTTCGTCTAAGTTGCTCTTGTTATCAAAGTATTTGATTTCAAATATGTACATTATACGTAGCAAATACATATGGATGTACTTTGGCTTGAAAACTTATTTAGCACTGTCGTATACACTATTTCCAGTATATTTTTGAAATCGCCACTAACCCTTTACCATATATTGCTTTGCAATCATCAATTTCTGTAGATATTTTGTGATTCAACGTTGGCTGTAGCACATACAGCAGTGTGTCTTGTAATAGAAACAGTAAATATCGACAAATAGCAACTCTTTCTATTTCACATTGTATATTTGTTGTCATTTAATTTTTTTATTTTTTGAAGTGCCCACCAAGTCGACATCTGAATCCATATCTAAAAATAACCACTTCTTTTGTTTTCTATTTCCATTGAATTTAATATTACGGCCAATTTCGCAAAATTCAACAAAAATATTTCATCGTATATTTCTATACATAATGATTATACACATTTTTGCTGGCATCCAGCGTTAAAAATTAGAACACACAGCATATCATGGGTATACCCGTGTCAAAAGAAACACGTCTATTTTATAGTTTTTATTTGCTTGTGAAAGAGTGTAAAATATTGCCACTCATGCGCCCAAAATTTGACGTCGTCAACCGTACAACTCATTTGAATTGCGTTGGAGCTTATGACGTATTTCGGAAGCTGCCAATATTTTCGTATTCAAATATATGCACACTATAGCCATAGCGGCCCGAAAAGACCCTAATATTACCCGCTTATTCGATTGCCGCGCGTTTCCCTTAAATGTGTGCTGGGGACGCCTACAGGTTCATGACGGGTACTTGTAGGCACCGAGCAAGCATAAATATATTATATGTACATATAATTGTACGTATGTATGTACATACATATGTGTAATTACATCTACTTACCAATGTGCTTCCATATCTACATACACACATATGTACATATGTATGGACATATCATTGTGGGCGGCGAAGCGCCCGGCGTATAGCAGCAGTCATTATATTCTATGCGAATCAACGGCTACGTCAAACTAGTTTGCAACTGCGCATGTTAAAAGAGCAACAATCAACTGTCAGCACCCTGCAATGCCCCCACCTGCGCTGCACACCACACACCGCAATTACATCAACGCAGCCGGTTAACGACAATAGGAATGGCGTTGTTGCTGCTGTTGATGTCTTTGTGGCCAATCGATCGCCGCTGACGTAGCGCCTTCATACAATCAGCATGGCGTACGCCGGCAGCAAAGTCACCTCGTAAGCACTTTAAGTAAATAAAACAGACTACTACTACTGTTACTGTCTGGTCTGGTCGTTCCGGGTCGATATTGCCCGCGCAACCTTCACCTTCGCTGATACCCAGCCGTAGGCAGTCGGGCGCTGGCAAGGTTGCAGTTATTGCTGTTCTTGCTTTAATTGATTCCCAGCACTACTCACTCGTACGCAGATACTGACACACATATGTACATACATACATACCAAATGCAAATAATGACTTTCGCCTGAATTTACTGGCTTGTTTTCGCTTTACGCGCGGAGTATACCGTGCACTATCGCACATTTAAAGTACTATCATCAGTTGATTTGATTCTACATTGTATTGTTTGTTCTTTTTTTCTGCCGCTTTGTACATCTTCGATAGCGCAGCTACGTCTAAGTGGGTATGGATGTACGTCACAGCTTGAAGACGCGCGTCACAGCAAATTTATTTCTATTCAACGTTGAATAGGCTGTTTGTCTAGCGTTTATATTCGGGCGGCGTGCCGGCCTACTTGTCACCTGCCACCTGCTTAGGTTAGCCGCTAGACGCCGCACACTCTTAAGGTGAGCCGTATTTGTCACCTTCAAACGCTGCAAATTCTATATCAAATCGCAATTTAATTGAGAAGGGCGACCCCTTATTGCTGCGCAACCACAACCACCCACTGCTGACGCTCAACAAGCGCAGCTATAAACCTGTAAAAAGTTGATTATGGTTTATTCATTGTACCATTCGTATTTAGTGCATGTTTATTACAGTACATATGTACATACATATTTAGTATATTCGTTTGTTTGTTTGTGCATCTCTTGAGCGTCAGTCAGGCGCATGTTTTTTCTGGCTGCGTTCAGGGGCGGTGGAGACGTGACGTCCACTCACGCTTCCTCTGTGAAACCGTCACTTACCCAACGTCTGTTGTTGCTGTAGTTGCTCATTGGTGGCTTAGGTTTATTTTTATACGCCGAATTTTTATTTACGTAAATAACAGCGCCTCGTACACTTTCGCGCTTTGCAGTCAATGATAATTGCTAATATTAATGTTCGAGCTTCTGGGTGAACTCAATTATTTATATTATTATATTTTTTCATTATGTGACGCACTGAACGCATTGTTTTCACACCGCACTCTCAAATACATATTTAGTCAACCCATTTTTAATATTTTTTTTCATTGCATACCGGAACTGTTCTAAGAAAATATTTCACAGCTATTTTCGGCGCCTCCGGATTTGTTCACGAACCACATATAACCTAACCTAAAACAAATTAAATTTCTTGCACTTTATCTATGGACAACGCGAAAGATCCTTCTGGAATAGACTTGCCCCTAGCAAAGTCCATATAGCCGCATTCGTAGAATTTCTTACTAGACACTCCAAAATTTCAAAAGTTCTATGAGTAGAAGAAGGTGAGGGAAAAGATCCAGGCAATTTCTCTTCCATTGTATACCTTTTGCAAAAGTGAAGTAGAAAAAATTTGTAAGAAACTGTTGCAGAGCACCGTGCCCAATGAGAATTCCGGCCCGATAGATATTGCCCCCTATTCCCCTTCTTTCTTTTAATTATATTTCGCCATATTTTTCGTTATTACATTTGCTTTTTCAATTTTGTTTTTACAGTGGAACAGACAATGTAGTCGGCATCAACTGCTGCATCCGCTACAACGAATCGGTGGCCTTCATCATGCCATATATGCAGCACGATCGGTTTCACGACTTCTTCAACAAAATGGATCTAGCCGAACTGCAACACTATATGCGCAACCTGCTGATCGCATTGCGGCACGTGCACAAATTCAATGTTATACATCGCGACGTGAAGCCGAGCAACTTTCTTTATAATCGCCGTAAACGCCAATTCCTGCTTGTGGACTTCGGCTTGGCGCAACAAGTGCCTACAGCGCACATCCCGAGCGCACTGGAAACCGGTTGCGAACAGTCGAATGCGGCAAACGCATTAACAATCGGCACGGAGGGTAAGCGACCACGCGATGGGGACGAAACGACATCCAGCAAGACGATTGACGGTTCCAACGGCAGTGCGGCGCCTGGTGATGCCTATGGTGGTTCAAAACGTCCACGCTGCACCGGTCCACTAAGCGAACAAGAGTTGTCGGCTAATACGACGCCAAATGCGCGTGTCGCCAACAGCTGCATTGTGGGTGGTTCGCCATTTAAAATGCCATTAAAACAATTGAATGAGATCACCGCCGCTGCTGGCAATAAGTGTGGCGCCACAGGGTTGGCAGCTAGTACTGCTTTAGTCAACAACAATACTAACCAAAATAACAGCGGTGGCGGTAATGGTATTTGCGAGACACCGCTGGGTCGCCAGGTGAAGTCGGCCATACTGGGTAGTTCGGCCAGCAATCGCTTCCAGCAAAAGATACGACAAAGCGCGGGTTGTGTGCGTAATCCCAACAGCATTGCTCCGGAAGGCGCCACTGGTTCTAATGCAGCGCCACAGTGTACGGATATATCCAGCAAGTACAATACTAATCGAAACCTCAGCACCGCCAACCGCCCAAAGTGCGTCTGCTATGGCAATCCACAAGTGTGCAACATGTGTCTCGTCAAAAAGGAAATGCATGCGTCGCGTGCCGGCACGCCTGGCTATCGGCCGCCCGAGGTGCTGCTCAAGTATGCCGACCAAACCACAGCAGTGGACATTTGGGCGGCAGGCGTAATCTTTCTATCTATACTGTCGTCGGTATATCCATTCTTCAAAGCCCCCAACGACTTTGTGGCGCTGGCGGAGATGGTGACGATATTCGGTGACAAAACCATACGTAAGACTGCCTTCATACTCGACCGCCTCCTCACACTCAGCCAAAAGACTAAGCCCCTTGATCTACGCAAGCTGTGCGTACGCTTTCGCAATCGCGTTAAATTCAGCTCGCCGGATTTGCTGAAGAAATATCAACGCTCAGATGGCACCTGTGAGGTATGTCGCAACTGTGATCAATTCTACTTCAATTGCCTATGCACGGAAACCAATTACAATACCGAGCCGCTAGACGATGATGATCCATTCCCCGCCAGTGCCTACGATCTACTGTACAAACTGCTTGAAGTCAACCCACTGGAACGCATTACTGCCGAGGAGGCCCTCAAACATCCCTTTTTCAGTGAGATGTCCACAAGCGGCAGTGCCGCAAACAATAAGAATGACAACGGCAGCGCAATCGCTTTAGAGACCACTCAGAAGAAGGGTCCGCGGGATAAGGTAGAGCCTTGAAATTTACGTAAACGTCGGTGCAAACGTAAAGGCAAAAAAAAAAAAGGAGAGAAACCAAAAGAAACGAGATGTATTGAAGAGCAAGTGTAAAATGTATAATCGGTGAAATTCGTTGTTAATTGTTGGGAATTTTTCCAATTTTTGAGCTTGTGCACTTCCGGTATCGGTTGAATCTAAAAGCAGGTAGCTCAAAACGCCTTGTTAAATCATACGACGATAAAATCGAATTGTGGATTTATTTAAATTAGTAATTTGTGGCAAACGCTTTGGACCATTCTCTAAATCGACAAATGTCTGTATAAAATTTACAAATGCGTTAGAAAAAATTGTGTATCATAGTGTAGTAGCGTTTTTATATACATATATAAATAGTATAGAAATATATTTTTCATGCCAATGTGCAATGATTATTGTAAAGAGCAAATCAACCAGTTATACCTCTCTAGTCCACAGCTAACGGAGCTTTGGGCGTTGGATTTTCGAAAACAACCCAGTTATCCAGTTATAAATGTAAATTGTACGCTTTTTTACGTAAAAAATTCCTTAATTTGTTTTAATTTTTAGTTTTTTGTTGAAAATTTGCGCTTATATGTATATATTAGCTATTAGTTATGTCTATTTATTGAGTATTATTAATGAAAATGTAACGGCAAACGTTAGTTTACTGTGCAATAGTTTTACTAGTTTCTAAATATTAGAATTGTATGATGTATATAAATTGTTTGTTGTGTGATTTAGCGTATATACTAGATAATAATTACATATATAAATGTACTAATTAAAATATTTGTTGCTTTATACACAAATACTAATTTTGTTGCGTAGCTATTTTTTGTTTAATTTTTTATTAATTAATACATCGCAGTTACCGTTGTTGTGTAGATATATGTATTGAATGTTCTACATATTTTTTTATTTCATATTTTAATTTTCGAAATTAGGCTTTTGCAAAATGAAGCGGCGAAATTTAAGGTCAAGACCGAGTTGGCAGTAGATGGATGTAAAGCCGGGTTTGATCCGGATCCATATGCCCAACTGTTGTTGGGAAGCTACTAGTAATAGCATTATCAGCTGTATAGTGTAGCTAATTAACCGCTATTTTTGTCGGTACAATATTACTTATAAATGCTTACTCAATATAGGTTTCACAAATACAGTAAAACGATTACCAAATACCATTGAAATCTCATAAAAGAGAAGTAAAATACTCAATTAGTTACAATTCTTATTCTACTTTTTTTTTATTTATATATAGTTTGTTTGAAAGTAAATTGTATTATTTTTAAAAATTTAAATGCTCACAAAACTCATGTTTGCATATTTTCCACTTTTCTCTTAGATTTAGGCGCTTCATCCTCCTCCAATTTCTCTTCCAACTGTATACGTTTACCCTTTTTCACCTCTTCCTTTGTGGGCTGTGTTCTAATTACACGTTTTTTCGGCGCCTTGTAACTACCTTGACCAGCAGCACGTTCGGCTTCTTCAACTGTGTATGGTTCTAATTCCAAAGCTTTCATGCGACGTTTATGCACTTTGGTGCGAAAGTGTGCTTGCATTGCATGGTCGTCGATAAAATACTTCGCACAGTGTACACAATAGAATTGTGCGAAACCTGTTTGTTCAAGATCCACCTGTTGATTGATGAGCTCTGCGGATTTCTTTTGCAGGTCGTCATCAATCTGATCTAGATCACGCCGTCTGCTGCGTACACGCCAACGTCTTCGCAAGTGCGTATCCCCAGAGTGCATTTTCTTACGCTTCTGTACCATACCCATTTTGAGGCGACTTCTTCAGATATTACACTTACAGGAGAGGAAATTAAAATATGCCTGAAATAATGGATATTAAAAATAAATTATTCTTAAATAGTTTAAAATTTTTAATAAATATAGAAAAGTTACCAATTAAATTACGACTTTAGGTGAGCACGCGTTTTGTTTTTATACAACACACACACAACTTTATCATATGTTTCTGACAGTTTGCCTTACGTGACATACTTACTTTGCATTCGCAATAGAATAAAATTTCGAATATAAATACTTTTTATATTATTCAATAAAATTTCTTAAACAGCTTCAATTGTTATGTACTACATTACATATATTAAAATTTTTGTAAAATTGGACATATTCACGAGCTATCTCATATGCAATTAAACTACACATTGTCATTCACAATAGACTCGGCTCATTATGCATTTCTGTCAACAGCTGTGCACTCTGCAAATGTATGCTCTCTATTGGTGGGCTGGTGGAGCTTAGCGCCAGAAAGTTGTCAATTGGTCGAAGAGTACTCAAGTGATTGGTTATGTGAGTTTTCCATTGTAACTAAATTTATAGTATTTGTTATTAAAAGATGTTGAACAAGCATATTTACTTCCCCCACATAAATAAAGTGTAAAAGTGGCAAAAAGTTTGCTGTAAGTGAGTAAGCATTTACGCCTATAGAGTGACAAAGTGTCTGAATGTGTTGGGTAATTTGGAGCCAAAATCGTGATTGTGCACAGTGTATTGCATAAAAATAACGCTAAATTAAATAAATAAAAATCAAAAACCATTCAATGAACGAATGATAAAAATCAATTGGTTTAAATAAGTTAATGAATACATTCCAATAAAGTGCATTCAACTGCTGTAGAAACCAACTGCGACCTAATTAAATCAACTGGACTGGATCAGCTGGTACATCCATAAACGCTGCAGTTGTACATTTGGTCTTCCATCATATCACAAAAGCGACGACAGCACAGCAAAAGTGGTAAGTGTGCGAACAGTAAATGCATTTTGACTTCCCAGATAGTGGAACATTCTTATCACTTACGCTTATCGGCTTTTACAGTAATTAGTAGCTTCTCACTTATATCTACACTCCTGACGGTAATTCCCAAATATTAAGTTCTTTTCGAATGTTTTTTTTTTTTTTTTTGTTTTCCACGCACAAATATAACTGTTATTATTTATTTATACCATTTAATTTGTACATGTTATCATGTTGTATTTATCTCAAACATTGTGCGCTAATGTATAGGTTGGGTTTTCAATGATGTAACGCGTCAGCTAGCAAAGCAATCATGTATGCATACAGCAGTCCAACATAGCAAGATATTCACGTACTCATGCGTATACAAAGTAGTATTCCGACATAGAGCAACGGCTTGAGGCAATATCACATTGTTGCCTAATCTACAAACCGGTCAGTGGTATTTCACAAAACTTTATGTCAATTATCTGAGCGAGCGCTGGAAGCTTGCATCTGCTGCTGATGATGAGCTCCATGTCTTGTTGGGGTAATACAAATATAAAATATTTCAACTGAAGTGCAGTTAAAAGTTTGCTAGTTTGAGTATCGCGAACATTAAAGAAAGGCGCACACATAAAACCTGGTATGGATAATGCAGAAATGCAGCGTACGAATCCTAATAAGCACAAATTCCATAAATTTTAAATAAAGTGCAAAATCTTTCAAACGTACGCACGGCATTAATTTAGTTGAATAAATTTATCGGCAATATGTGCATATTTTATTCAAGAAGCTGAATCGTTTTCTTACTTCTAATAGAAGCTTAATTTCTTTCCTATCTAGAGGTTGTCTGTAGTTGAAAATTTGAACGAACTGCAATTTATATGATTAATGTACTTCTACATATACATACTCCCACAATATTATTATTCCCAAATTTTAATGGCAACCGAAATATAGCAACAGGTTGCTGTGCCAGGCAGCAATCAGCGTTAGTAATACAAATGACACGCATATCTATATGCCCATATACATATATCGTACATACATACATACATACATACTAGTAGTTTTTATAATCGGTATGCAATCATTATTTGTAATTTTATACAGTTCCGTTTGTTTGCCCAACTGCTAAACCGCTAAAATTACACTTAATAGAAGCCTGTTTTTGTTTATGCTTATCCGCTTACATTATACGTATATATTTTGTTATAGAACTGGTTTTAGCAGTTCTAAAAAACAATATTTTTGTTATATCTCGTTGTTTCTAATCCGAGAGGTAAATACAACTTGCATTAATTGCTTGCTGTGTATTAATTAAGCCAACTCTTGTATATCAATTAAACATTTTTGCCACAATATACATATATATGTATGTACATAATTTTTAAAATATTAATTATGTTTTCCATATTTTTCGAAAAGGTGAGCATAAATACATAAATAAATAAATTATTGTTTTTTCATATTTCGATGGTATGTACATCAAAAATACAATATTAAATTTTAAATGAACATTTCGAATATTTTTTGTAGTTACAGGCTTCTAAAGTATTGCCGCTCAATTCAATCGGCTCTGTCAATTTATCTTTAAACGTATACTATGTATGCATGTAGAAAATGTTCATTCTTTGTTTATTTACTATTTCTCCAATCCAATTTCAATTCGCTTAAAAAATCGATGGTTATCGACTTTCGATAATATCCATGCATGTTGTCAATCTGCACTATTTCATATTTGAATTCGTAAACAATACAAATATTTTGCTATTAACACTAATTTTGATTGATTTATGGCACCCACTTTGCAAAAATATATTATATATTTAATATAAGTACATATGCACACATTGTATACATGTTTTTGCTACCAGAGTGTTTTGCATTACGTTATAATTGTAAAGGTTAACTAATTGGTGCAACCGCTCGAATTGTTTGCCACAAAAAGAAGTGTGCTTTTCGATTTTTTTAATGAATTGTAAAATTTGTGTGCAAACCTCAATGTCAATGCCAAGCGACCGCCACCGATATTGTCGGACATTGATGGACGCATAATTAATAAGCCTACATTTTACGCGTCTGTATGAACATACATACATATGACGACGCTGCTGATTACTGCCGCTGGTGCAGAACGATCGGTCAGTTGTCGCTATTTAATAAATTCACTTTTCCTGGCTGCTGGTGTTGTATGACAAATTTCAATACTTTTACTGTGCGCCTGTAAAGCACACTTTCAAGTTACAACCACAACGGCGGGTTGCAGCAACAAACACTAAAGTCAGCTGCAGCTTCGATTACAATCAACACATCTGCTTGTGCGTTAATTAGCCGCTAATAAGCAATGATGACAAGAGAGGTCTCCTATTTCATAAGTGTGAAAGGCGTTGCACGGCTGCGTCGCATTTAGTATTATTATCTTTAAATATTTGTGTTTGTGCATAGGTGTAAAAGCAGTTGCTGGCCGGTTCGAGCAAATACAATAAATAAATAAAGTAGGAAATGTGGACAAAGAAAATGTAAATCGGCGCGCAGATCGCTTTAAGCGCCGCAAAGTCACGTTGAAACTCATTTTGCGCAGCTTGTATGTGTGTAGCTGACCATACATACATTACATGGAACTGTGCACTTTAGAACGCGCGCGTACACAGCCGCAAATTCGAAAGGAGAACTATATTCTTATCGAGATGCATTCCAATTTTTCGGCAGGGTCAGCTTTGCCAGCAAATTGCCAAGTTGGCAAAGCAATTTTTTAACTTTCTGCTGATTTGGCGAATCGTGCCGGTATTAACGTTGCTGCAGCCGTGGTGAATTATGTATTTAGTGCACCTGTGTTGGTGCTACGGCCCGTATAAGCAACGTTTCAGTTGCTAAAGCGCTGGCCACACACACGCGTGCACGACATCACACACATACATAGGTGCCAAGTTTGTGTACAGTTGCGTTGCATAAGCGCTGCAAAAAATGCGCTTTCTTCAATTATTTATTACCAAATTTTGTTACGGCGGTTCACATACAAACACACACCCGTGTATAACGGCATCACATGTTACCCACTGCCGCGCTGTGCATTGCATTTTAGCGTCTTAATTTTGCTATCTGACTGGTTTCCAGTTATTGCTTTTGCGATTTCATGAATTCGCTTGAGTTTATTTCCCAGCACATGACTGCTGCTGCCACGTCGTACCTGCCCATTTCAAGGCAAGCCAGTTGAACGCGCTCAGACAGTGAATGGCTAGCTTAGATTTTAGTGCTAGCCAAAGTACTTATGTGTTGCCACACCGCTAAATGTTGGCTAATGAGTTGGCAAAAAGATTAGAAGGTGCAGATTGTCTTTCGAAATGCAATTAATGAATGTGTACAACAACATGACCCAAATTCTCTTTTTGTGATTTCCGAACCTTGCTATCAAACTCAGATCTCTTTGTTTTAAGATTGAATCGATGCAAAAAGATACAAAAGTGTATTGTATATTGTAGCCCAAATTCAGCGATAAATTAGAAAAAACGCTGAGCAAATGAGATCTCTCTAGGTCTTGTTAAATACGATTACTCCCAAAGTGATCTACGTCGATCCTCCATAAAGCCACCAAAGGAATAATATTATTTTAGGCGAATTTTCTATTTAAGACAAGCAAAAGTTGCTCGAAATTAATATTGAATCAGTTAAGAGAAATTTTAAAGTTTAGAAGAATAAAACTGATGAAACACAAGAAAAAACATCGGTTGCACCGAGGAGATATCACACTTTAGTATAAAATGTTATAAATCTTTATCTTCAATTTGATGAGGCAGTTTGTATAACAGCTACATATTAGGTTGTCAAAAAAGTCTTGCGGTATTTTCGCTAGTTGGCGCTGAGAGCGCGTAGTTCTAGTTTTCTTCATCGCATCGGGTCATGCTATACCTTTTTGGAAAGCTCATTTCACGCGCTAATACGTGTTTGATTGATTGTTGTTTATTTTAAGCCGTTCGCGAGTTATAGCGTCGCAAGCATGGAGCAAAATAAAGAGAAAATACGGCATATTTTACAATACTAGTGCGGTAAAGGCAAAAATGCATCTCAAGCCGCCAATAAAATTTGTGCAGTTTATGGACCCGATACAGTTTCCATTTCCACCGCACAACGATGGTTTCAAC